GTGCATATCTGCGGCCATAAAACATTTCTGCCCTTACATCATCCAGTCAGCTCACAAAACATGCATCCTTACAGACAGCAAACCATGTGTACAGGCTATACAAAAGCTTTGCCGCGGCGAGTTCTCCTCAAGCCCTCGAGTGACATCCTTCCTCTCCACAGCTAGCCGTTACCAGGTTGACCTACAACACCTTGCAGGTTCTGCAAATATTCCATCTGACTTCGCCAGCAGAAATGCAGCAGAATGCGAAAATCCTTCATGCCAAGTATGCAACTTCATTATACAAATGGAGGACTCAGTTGTGCGTGTTGCAAAAGCCAAAGACCAAGTTACCAATAAAATGGAAACCTTGCCCTTACCTTTTACAACAAGGTCAGCTTGGATCAATATCCAAGCAGAGTGCCCGGATCTAAGACGAACTCATGCACACTTAAAACAGGGTACCAGACCCTCCAAAAAACTCACAAATATCCGAGACGTCAAGCGATATTTGAACATAGCTACGATTGCAAGAAATGGCTTACATGTGGCACGCAGGTCTGATCCACTACAGCCACCAACTGAGCTTATCATAGTTCCACGCAGTGTCCTTGATGGCCTTGTAACTGCCCTTCACATTCGTTTGGATCATCCTACAAAACACCAAATGTTGTTGGTCATAAAGCGCAACTTCTATGCATTGGACTTGTCTCAATCAGTAGACCGTGTATGTGACTCTTGCCATACCTGCGCTTCACTCAAAAAATTTCCAAATAGCTACATTGAACAGTCATCAGAACCTCCCCCAGATGTCATCGGGATTAACTTTGCTGCTGACATCATGAAGCAAAACCACCAACTAATCCTGGTCTGGACTTAAGAGAAACGGTAACCGCCTATACAGCCTTATGTCTAGTTGCTGATGAAAAGGCCCATACCTTGAGGGAACGTGAGGATGACCTCTTAGATCACTATCGCATAAACCTTGAAATCGGCCGAGTTAAAAACCCTAATAAGAACCAAGTAGCGGAGAAAGCTGTTGCAGAACTTGAGGAGGAAATACTGCGGCAAGAGCCTGAAGAAGGCCCAGTTTGTTTCACAGCTTAGCCTTTCCACTGCCGTAGCAAGACTCAATTCCCGTATCCGTAGTGAGGGCCTGTCAGCACGAGAAATGTATACCCAACGTAATCGGTTCACACATCAGCAACTTCCCATGGTCGACCGGGAGATTATCGCCCAAAACAAGCTCAACGGGACTCGAACCACATCAGCAGTGCATGGTCCAAGTCAAACTCAAAAAGGCCACGCCCTCATTCCATCCCATCTGTCGGTGATCTGATGTATTTGTATTCGGACAGAGACAAGATCAAAGCCTGTCCCAGATATATTATAGTCTCATTGAATGATGAATGGTGCTATGTGAAAAAATTTTCCGGTCAACAATTACGATCTAACTCCTACAAGATCAAAGCAAGTGAATGTTACCGTGCTCCGACAGAAGTAACCTCTAAGCCCCAACAACAACACATCCCTGACGATGAAGACCTGGAGGATATCCCTATTTCTGAACTTGACACCAATGAGAAGCTTCTCCCCCCCCCCCCCCCAAAACCTTCAGGAACCATCCCACAACATGAAGTCTCCACCTATGATCCACCTCAGATCCCAGAAGTGCTGTGTACACCCCCACAGACAACCGTCAAGGCACGCGAGGAAGTGCGGGATTCAGATACAGAGGACGTGGTCCAAAGTTCCTCAAATCGCCCTCAGAGAGCAAGAAAGCCTCCGTCTTACTTAAAGGACTATGTTGTATCCCTGTAAACAGTTATTTTCTTAAGTAGCAAGAACAAGTTGTTTTTTAAGCATTTCTTAAAGTTTGACTTTTATTTGTACATCTTAGTTTCTCAACTAGTCTGCATCTGCCACAGAGAGTGCGTTTATAATTGATTTGTATAACTAAAACAAAAAAGAGACAAAAATGAGAAAAGAGGTTGCGCCAGTGTTTTATGTACGACTTACTTAGTAAGTACGAAGAACTCTTTTGTTTTAGGAGATCAGTTTTGCATATCATTGTTTTATGTATTGGAGCCAAAACTGGCTGTATAAAAACTCTCATCCTGTTTAACAGTTTTCCTTTATTATTGGCGTTTAAACCTTCAGAAAATCAAAATTCATTCCCGTTACCGCAACAATGTAACACACACTATCTTCGTCAGTACAACTTATGTAGGGTATGGTACTGCACCATGTTTGTTAAATACTACTTTAAAGATGAAAGTGAAATATAAACGGAATGCACAGTTGCCATGTTGCTAGGCAATCATGTAACCGAATTAACAAAGTCAATATATCGTTTTCTCTAGTAACAAGGAATACCCTTGCACTGGTGTGAGTTTTAATAATTTCAAAGAGGGGCATTATAAGGCCCTAGACATATCTTGTTCTTTGATGTTTCAATAACTTTTAGATGAAGGACATGGAGATAACGAACAGTATTCAACCTCAAAGTCCATAAAACAATACAAAGAGGATATTTCCAGCTAAGAGCACCACGATCTCGGACTCGTACTCTGTACTTCGATATATAAGGGTCCGTATAAAAAGTTTTTTAAAATGCCTTATAAAACTATATACTAAGTATGGCGTATCTGAACTAAAAAAGTATTATATTATTTATTGTTTATTGTTTAACGTCCCACTCCAGAATATTTCACTGATACGGAGACGTCACCATTGCCGGTGAAGGGCTGCAAACTTAGGCCTATGCTCGGCACTTACGGCCTTGGAGCAAGGAGGGATCTTTATCGTGCGACATCTGTGACACGGGGCCTCGGTTGATACGGTCTCATCCGAAGGACCGCCCCATTTAGTCGCCTTTTACGACAAGCAAGGGGGTACTGAGGACCAATTCTAACCCGGATCCCCACGGGACAACTAAAAAAGTAAAACTAAAAAAGTAAAACACGAGATTAAACAAAGATTAAGATAATATTTGCTATCTAAATTCAAAATAAAATCACCGATTTTGAACCCAAATGTTATCCCCATATTTCTATACAAGTAGGTTCAATTGACTTTACGGTCCTTTGGATGAGACCGTATAAACCGAGGCCCCGTTTCACAGCAGGTGAAGCACGATAAAGATCCCTCCCTGCTCTATGGCCCTGAGTGCCGAGCATAGGCCTAAATTTGCAACCCTTCACCGGCAATGGTGACGTCTCCATATCAGTGAAATAATCTGGAGAGGGACGTCAAACAGTAATCAATCAATCAATCAATTGACTTTAAACTGTGTTTTATATGATATTTTTATCCGAGTCGGAAATCGGTTATTGTTTTAATCTCCGATTTCTATGTAACGTGACTGATTTAAATTGTGTTATTTATTCGTACAGGAAAGTTTTATCTTTATATTATGTAACAAAAAGAGAGAGAGACCATTTTAATTTTAGTTAGTCTAAACTTGTAAAAAATATGCCATATATGACTTTAAATGCTACATATTACGGTGCTTTATCTAGGAAACTTCGTTTTTGTTGTTTATGAATAAATCAAATTTTGACGCCGCCCCTGAACATTTTGAAACAACTGTCAGAGTCAGTGCGCGAGTACGGTCTCGAGATCGCGAAATCTGGAAATGTCTAATAAGAGCAGAGCAAACACGGACCTGCCTACCCTTCCGCTTTTGGCGTAATTCTTTCGCTTTTTACCACAAAATTACGCTATTACGCCACTGATATTAATATTACGCTTATGATATTTTGGTTTAAATCCATTATAAACGTCTAAATTTTAGTCAAAATACGACCTGCTGAAATGATATGAGAAGTTTTAGTTAAAAGTTTAAAGTCATCATTTCGTACATGTAAGTTCTTTGGTCGATACAATGACCTTGTCAGCAAATACAAGAAGGATATGGAAATAACGAACAGTATTCAATCTCAACGTCCATTAAACAATATACAAAATAAGAGCAGAGCAAACACGGACCTCCGAAACATCAGAGGTGGGATCAGGAGCCATGGAGGAAAAAGCATCCCCTGCTAACCGGTCACATCCGCCGTGTGCTCTTTGTCATGATCAGGAAATAACGGGAAAATCCGTCGTCAATTCAGTGTATAAATAATGGACTAACAATTAGTATGAAAAACGTTAGTAAGCAATTGACTCAATGATAAATTGTATTTGCTGACAAGGTCATTGTATCGACCATAGAACTTACAAAATAATATTCTCCCGGCTGATATTCTTGTTTCATCAACTTGCTTGTCAATAGTGTACCTAGTTTTAGAAAATGTTCATACGTAGAAGTAAAATAAGATTTTTAATACTTATATTTTCGTGTTAAATGCTATTACAACTTAGACGTCTTGATATTATACTGGAAATATTAATTTCAAATTAAATCTGTGTTTATGTTCCTTTAAGAAGGGGTGGAAGTGTGAAAAGTGAACAAACAAAGGGACGGACTACAGACAAAATGTAAGCGGAAAATCATATTGTGTTTATTTACAGATTTAGAAAATTTAAGACTTGAGACAAAAAAAAACAGCTTATATTTACGAGGGACAGAGATGAAGGACGCACGAAAGGTGAGAAAAAAAGAGAAAAAACGGTGACAGATAAAGATTTTTTCTGGGAAGGGGGGGAGGGTAGCATGGCAATGCAGAAATTAAACATCCTCAATTAATCTCCACAAAAAAGATAAAATACATTCGTAAGTAATTTATTAAAAGGTAAAATACATTCATAACCACGTGCGTAGCAAAATCATTAAAATGACGTTAGAAACTTAAAATACAATTGGTGTAAAATGTGTCTGCTGAGTAATGATGAGTATATTGCTTAAAACGAATATAATAATTCAAACATTCATCAAACTATCTAAACACTTCATCCTTTATCAAAACAAAATGCTATCTTTAAAAATAATTTGATATAGAATTTTATCACAGAGATTCAGATATATTAAAAAATTCCAAGATAAATATAAAACAGTTTATTTGTACGAGGGGCCTGTTCTTTCTATATCATAAAAAAAAATCTTAAATTGCAAAAAAAAATATAATTAAAAAATAATAAATAAAGCAACAAAAAGGTGAATATGTAAAAAGAATTGTTACAAATATAACAATATGAAATTTTGCCATCATAATACTAGTTTCTAAAAACAAACATGTACTTAACTTCTACCTTCAAAAATAAATGACTTTAATTTCCACATAGAAAAGTTACTTTTCACAACATGAGCGAGAGTAGCACTGTTCACTAAAGTCCTGATCGTAACCCATCGGAACCTCTGTAGATTTCCCCGTGTCGTCATCATATTTTTTATACGAGGAAAAGGGCGGGGAATAAAGGTGTAGAGTGACAGCGCCCTCCACGTGACTTTTGTTTCCAACTCGATGAAGTCCGTCTGCGTCTGTATAAAAAATATACATGTATGTTGGGTTTATTATATAATATATATATTTTATTTTACAGTGTATAAAGGAAATCCTATTGTAGTCTTTAAAAAAAGGGGGGGGGGAGATTGTCATGTAGTGATCAAAAGAGAGGCTCTGACACAGACGATAATTCCATGCAAGACGGCTATAAAAAAAATATCTTTAAATCTTAATTTTTGGTATAATGTCAAGCTATATAATTTTTAATGCTTGGTATAATGTCAAGCTATATAAACGTTGCAAAGTACTTGAAAAAATACCAGTTAAGGTCAAGATGTAGTAAATAACTTTAGACTAATTTTTTGGTGCTAGATCCATTATGACGTCATAATCAATTTCAACTTTGTTTTTCCCGTACTTTACGGCTTTTGCAGAATTATGTAAAAAAAAATAGAGTATTTCATGACATTCAATTTGAAATCATATGAAAAGTAAACCGGACACCTATATTAAATTTTATATTAGTTTAAAGAAGAGGCCATGAACATACTAATTACCATTTTCTATGAGACTGTAGGCAATCTGGATACATTTTCTTTGTCGAATATGAAAAAACTCCCTTATTCATGACTGGTTCTCTTAATTTTTCATTGAAAATGACAATTTAAAATACAGTTTTTCATCTTGTTTACCTACAAATTATGCCCCGAAACACCATATTTGACCTAACTAAAGTTGTAAAGCATCAATAAAGGAACTAATTTCTCAAATTTGATAAATCTGTAGGCACCTGTCATTTACTAGATCTTGACCTTAACACAAATTATTGTTTAAACACACCAGTGATATGGGCCACATCGTTGAGTGTATAAACCCTATCTTCAATTTTCTTCATTTTACCTCCACAACACGACGTCATATCTGGATTTTCATACAACTCCTCGAACATTTCTCCCTTCAGAGTCTTCATGAAGCAGTGCGATTTTGGGTGATTATGTATAGGGCTTTCCTGACCAGGGCTCAAACATAGTATCATTAAATTGTAATGGCCATTCCCTTTGTCAAGAAGAGTTCTTGTATATCTAAACAGTAGATGATATCCGTGTGAAATCTTATTCATTCAAAACAGCATAATTATGACACTTTGTGAATTTCTTTCTAACTCATCTAAATCCAAAGTACCTGTATTTATTTTCACTTCTTAACTTTTAGTATTCATTTCCATTACTCACTTTTTTCTTACTAAATTAGTAAATCATTCCGTAATCTGAAAAATAGAATTTACTACTTGCTTTTTATCGCTCCGTTTTTCCTTGCCATCCCAGTCCTTTGGATGACTTTCGTACTTCGACATAATCTTTTGAATGGTATTTACCATCTCCTTCGACTCTTCAAGAAAACCGTTCTCCAAAACCCTCCTTAGGTCAAATTGCATAGCATTCAAGTCATATCGTGCCATTTTTTCTGTATATCTGCTCTAACTAAGATAACATTATTTTACAAATCTACATTTAGGTGTCCATACATAAACTTTATGAAACTCTAAAAAAAAAAAAAAAGGCATGTTCTCCTTTATGTTCAATCGCTACAGGCCCAGGGGTATTTTTCTGTGTGTCCTTAAAAATAGGCTCTAAATCGACTATGCTTCTTGGAAATGTTTAAAGGACGCCGAGTCATGATCTTTACTTTCGGTTTCTAAGTTTCAGATATGCTGGCTTTTTTTTATTAGACGCTAGGAAATGTTTTGATTCTGAATGAAAGTACAAAATATAACGCTTTTAATACGCTTTCAAGTAATATTTTTCTCGACGATCAGGAGATTGTAGATAAATGAAATGAGGATCAACACTTTTTAAAATATATCCTTCATTTTAACAAATAAATATTATTTCCTGAAAAAAATCTTAAACTATTAATCTGAAAAGATTTTAATTAAAGGAACAATTAAAAATATCGAATCATAATTAAATTACTCCCTGGTATGTATATGCACATGTGTTACATTATGTACACTAATTATTTTCGGTTTAAATTAATAATTTTCGATAACATAAATAATTCATAATCATTGGAATAAAAGCAGATTTATACCCGCTGTTCGTGATTGTTTGCAATCATTTTTTTATTTAAAAAAATCCCAGTTAGAATTGCCCTTTTTATTAAAATAAAAATCTTCAATATATCCAGAGGTCACTAGAACTTTAACCTAGTTAAAGTTCATTTAAACGACCTGTTTACACCTCATTACACATAGTATACACAACATGTGGGAAATACTTTGTGTCTTCTTCAATTCAAGCAGTGTATACGTGTACATCGATAAAAATTTCCGGATTATGTCATATAGAAACTACAACTAGCGAATGCACTTTCGTAAGTTTGTCTTGTGTTTTGTGCTGTCTTAATACACAGATATTGCTTGTAATTTACTAATCGAAGACCGTTACTTTCCACATTCAAACAATAGAAAGCACTTAATTCATATATACTTAATCCATAAAATAATTTATAAACAGTGCGATATGTTTGTGGCACAGGCGCTGGTTTTAGGTGGTTTATATTCAGACATTTTCTTCTCTTCAATGTATCCTTGTAGGTGTCTTTATGAGTTAAAAATTAAATGCTTCATATTTCGTTTTTCCCATAGCTGACTGGTTGTCGATAGTAAGACTTTAAGTTAGCCAATGGCGATACCAGGTTCAATTTTTAAATAAAATGTCATAAAACATGTATCATTTTCCATGATAAAGAAATCGATACATTATATATTGTTTAATGGACGTTGAGATTGAATACTGTTCGTTATTTCCATATCCTTCATACATTAAAAAAATTAAGGAAAAACATTGTAAAAAAAATATTCGGTTCACTCTGTATTAAATTTATCAATAATCGGGGAAAAGTAGTACATTTCTTCAATTAACTGTTTCCAAATCCATACATTCAGGAGGTGAAGAATCTTATAAGAGTATTCTTTTAAAAACTTTCCTCTTTCTCAGCTTGTGTTCTTTTTTCAGTTAAACACATTCAATCATTTGATATTATAATGCAGATCATATTTTGGTTTCTATATGATCTGCATACAATTTTCATTTTCTCAGTTTTCAGGTAAATGTGTATCACTAACCGCGATAAATAATTCAATCTTTTTTTTAATAATACTTATTTTTTCAATCAATCACCTGTATTGGTTTTCAATATTTGCATCTATTTGATTATCAAAATAGATACATTTATTTATGAGAAAAGAAATCGGATTCGATGAATGAGGTATAGAGATTCCATTATTTCAATAGAATAGATCAACAACACGGTATTGGCAGTCTTTGTCATGGCTTTACTTTAATAATACATGTTGAAATAAAATTTGACAAACACTATATTATCAAATCAGTATATCATTGCATTATGTTATATGTGTGATCTACATCGACTTTGGTTAGTTATGATGTAAAATCAACACTCAATAAAATTATCAATCAGTCAATATTTTGAAAAATCAATACTTCAATCAAACAACACAAGAAACAACATATCAATCAACATTTTCACTCAATGAGTTTTTCAATCAGTCAATATGACAATCAATCAGTTCATCAATGTTTTCAATCACTCAATGTATTCCATAAAAGTGTCAATTAAAATAAGCCCAATTATTGGCCACAGACCTGGAAGAAAACAGAATCAGTGGCAGGCTTAAGCAAAATTCGGCCATATGTCTTCATGTATGATAAATAGATTAATATAATACATGAAGACATCCGCCACAAGCGGACAAAATTTTGCCCCAATGCCATGACAGGGAGTGTTACTTTTTTGGATGAAAGCAGTGAGGTAAGCTTATACTGTAGTTCTATAACTTTGTTGTCAGGAATAAAGATTACCTGTTCTACTGTATCAATCCCTAACCCTAGGAAACTCAATCTTGTACAGGGACCCTCAGTTTTTTTATCATTTATTGGGACACCTAGTTCACCACAGGTTAGCTTAAATGTATCAGCGAGTTGAGAACATTGTGGAGTATTTTGACTCCCCGCAAATAAGAAATCATCTAGGTAATGAATGGTGTTTTGATTTTTGGCTATTTGTGCTACCAACCAGTGCAGGAATGATGAGAATTTTTCAAATGTTGAACAAGCTATGGAGCAACCAAATGGCATGCACATATCATAATCATATTTGTCTTGAATACACATACCTAATAAGGAAAAATCTGTAGGGTGGATTGGTAATAGTCTAAATGCACTGGACAAATCCATCTTACAGAGTAATGCCCCTTTCCCATTTTTTTGAATCATGGAAATTGCCTGGTCGAAAGAGCTGTAGGAGACTGAACATAAAATTGGGTCAATTTGTTCATTGATACTATTACCGATTGGTGCTGACAGGTTTGAAATCAACCTCCATCCCCCATCTTTTTTAGGCAACACTCCGACCGGGTTGCACCTAAGGTTGGAGAAGGGGGGGCTAGGGAAAGGGCCTGCCATGCGACCTAAGCTTATTTCTTTTTTAATAATCGACAATAATTCTTGCACATGTTCCTTAGCAGACTTCATGTTTTTTGGTTGTAAATAGTCTCTAGGGCCTGCATAATTCAGATAAAAACCAGATGTAAAACCATTGAGTAACAATTGGGCATCTTGAACTTGAGGGTACAATGCTAGGTATTTCTGTAATACTGGGAGCTTAATTGGAGTAGAACCTAGGCGTGTTAAATCTTGATGTTGGTGACTGGTATTGCCTTGGGCAATAGGGACGAAAATTCGAGTAAGATTGTTGGGCATAATTCTGCTGTCCTGCAGTTGGGCGAGTTAGATTTAATCTAGTGTTAGACTGTTGGTAGTTGGTATTGGGCCTTGAAGATTGAGTAAGTGTAGACTGGTAGGCCCAGCAGTGTATACGTGGATGGGTCTTGTTACAGTGCATGCATTCATGTTGATAAAAACACTGTGATTTGGAGCATGAGCCTTTGAGATTGTAATCAAAGCATTTAAGTGATGCTTTTGGTTGTGGAGCAATGAGGCTAGGTTGGGCCTGCATGTATATTAGCCACAACTCTGCGTCGACTGAGCCAAAAGAAAGTGATGTATTTTTGGACATTTTGAGACGGAACTGTCTGTCATATTCAAGCCAATTAGCATTTGTGTTTCGGCTGTAGCCTAGGCGCACTGTGTGTATATATTTCAATATGCCCTGAATATCTGAAGGATGCCTAGCTAGGTATATACTAGCGAATATTAAAAAGGCATCAACCCAACTTTGCATTGTAATGATTTTGGTTGTTTTGGTTTTTGGTTCGATGACCAATTGCCCTTCAACAATTGAGAATTTATGCGTATCTTGATTATCTATTTCTGAAATAATAACTTTTGCCAAATCAATATATTGCTTTGACCAAATATTTTCTTTGATGGCCTGGGGGACATGAACCCCAAGCTCATCTGTAATACTAATTAAAGGGTTTTCACCTGATGTCAAGGATTGCTCCGTTGTAATATCCCCTATGGAAAGTGGATTAGGGGTTGCCACTGTGGAATCGGAGTTCATGCTAGCTGAATGTGGGACTTCAGGAGGTTGTGGGACTTCGGGAGGATTAATGGTTGCCACCGATGAATTAGCAGTCTGGCTGGCTGGCTGTGAAACCTGGGTTGCCATGACCACGGGGGCCGTGGCTGCAATGGACCTTTCGGCTGGGGTCCTGACAGGCCTAGCATAGGGTGACTTGGATTTCCTTTTGCTATACCGCAACATTCCCTAGGAATTCGTAAGACTAATATATTTACTGTTATAACATGCATGGTAGCCTAAAGGCTAGCTAAGCGGGCCTGCACGGGCCCGACGAATCTTAACGTTATGTAACATGATAAAATCATGAAGTGCAGTCTTTACTGTGTTTCAAAATCATTTTTAATCAATTATAATTGTTAATTCTTATTCGTAAACAGAAATACCTTATGTTTTCTTAAAAATTCAAACAAACCATGCAACAATGATGGCGGCAAATGCCGAGAGGATGATGGTGGAGCTGAAATCGGTTACCAATTTTACAAGCCTAAATGACGTCAACCAAATAAAAATAAATGGAAGTAAATACGTACCGTAGCTTCGATGACCTAAATACTTTACCAAAATTGTAGGATGGCTAATCAAGTTTGAAGGAATCCTTCGATGGTGGTTAGACTGTTGAATTTTGTTGAGAAGAATTTCCATAAAGAATTTGCAATTGGCGCGCGCGTAGTATATATGCTGGTATTAACAGGGGATGGTGTCAAAGTTTAATAATTGTAAAGGGTAGTGTCAAAAGTCAGTGATGTTTAAATGTTGCAAGAGTTATGCCTCTTTATCTATGTTACAAAAGTTGATCTACTCATTTCTATAATACAACTTAACTCATATTGAGTTAAGTTTGATTACTGTCTGTTTGAGCTGAATAACTTGACAGTGGTGGATACATAGAGACAACATAAAACATTGTGCAGTTATTTTTTTGTTTGCCTTGCCCTCGCACTTTTTGGTTCAATTTGACATCTCATTTTTTTACCTAAAATCGGAGCCCACGTGATCTCCAGGGGGTCACATGATGTAAAAAAAATTACCGATGTGAAAAGCGAATGGCATACTCTTCAAGATAACAAATAGCTATTTTTCTAAAGTGTCTTGCTCAAAAATAATACTATTAAACATTACATGTATCGGATTCCGTGAGTTTTTATAGAAAATGTTGCGTTAACTGTACTGCGCACGCAACAGCAGCATTTATAAATGAAGGACGACATTACATCTCACAGGTTCATTCAGTGTGTTCACAGAGTGTTTGTTATGAGTTTGTTTTGAGTTTTCTTATGTTGGGTTTGTTTAGAGTTCGTTATTTTTTTAATAGCATTTTATACTTTTACATAGTTATATGATTAACTTATTAAACATCTCTTTTCATTCTTTCCTTATTAAAGGAATTAATGTCAATAGCTAAATGCAATATTTCAGCCATAACAAGTTTATTTCTTTTTTTAATGTCGAATTTACATTCAATAGGTGAATACGACTGTTGGGCTATCTCCTGGAACACACACTGAACAGTATGCCACAAAGATGACAAAGAGGAAGGCCATGCAAGAGAAGTCACAACTACCATCAATGAAACGCAGGAGAATGATCCTTAAGCAAGAGCGTGCTATTGTTCAGAGTTCATCAGAAGTTCTTGAGGGAATTTCGTACCAATCAGGTAAGTTCCCTGCTATTGAATCTACAGTACTTTAGTAACAGTATAAATTTTTTATTTACTTACGTATTTTAAGACACATATATTTCCTATACTTTTATTTCCAATATTGTAAATAGGTATTGGACATGATGCTGATACTGATATTGAAAGTTTACCAGATGCCATACCGAGGGGCATTTTTAAGCCCATTAGTTTGAGGGAAGGAGACGTTGCATCCTTTGTTACATTTTACTTGGAAACTACTGACCTCAGTAAGATATACATATTTATATGAATAATATTAATAAATGTATTTTTTATTTTATTTACTACTTGTAGAAAAAAAAATTTATAACAATTATATGATTTTGTATCATTTTTTAGTTCATGGACGAGTATTTTCTCATAGTACACAAATGGCAGCCTATGAACGTCATTCTAGAGCAACTTTTTCTGTTTATGTGACACCAAGATTGCAAATATCAAGTTCTGCACAGCAAGTAATTGGCATAGCTATGAATAGTTCCAACTGTATGACTGTCAGTGGTAGACCCGTAGATGCTTTAGGGGTACATGACGCATTTGATAGTTTCATCAAATGGATCAATACATTTCCAAATGCAGTGTTGATTTCCCATAATGGACGAAGGTTTTACTTTCCTGTACTTATGAATACCATTATGAATATTGGTCAACTAAATGAGTTGTTTGGCAGTGTATGCGGGTTTATTGACTCACTTTCAGTGTTTAGAAAAGTGTATCCAGAAAGAAAATCATACAAAAGCAAACAAGACGATTTAGTAAATTCACTATTGAACACAAGTTATGATGCTCACAATGCAATTGGTGATGTCAACGCCTTAGGAAAATTGATTGGGCATTTGACGCTTTCAACACAAGAGCTTAAATTGTATACATTTTCGTTACTGGCTAATATGTAGATTCAGTGAAAGTAGATTTGACAATTTTTATTCATGTTGTTAGTCATTTTTAGTGTTTTATATACATTGTATAATGTTTTTTAATTAGGTGTATATATTAAATATGTATCTAATTCTGTGCTGAAAATACAAAGGAATGCTGACAAATTATTGGAAAATATGTTTTGTTCTAAATGTATATAGTTGTTGAGGTAATCATAGTAACATGCATATTTTAATGATTTTGAGCAATAATAATTGTTTTTTTCCCCATGTTTACACTTAAACACTTAAATGAATGATATGATTATTTCCAGAAGTTGTTTTTGTCCAATAGAACAACTTGAAAAACTTGAAAAAAAAAAGTTGTGAAAACACAAATTTTGAAAATTTTGTCGATTGTAAAAAAAATGTTGTCACTGAAAATGTAAACGGTAAAAAATTTTCAAGCATTGCTTTTTTCATCTTGTATTCTTTCTAGATTTTTAGGTCACCTGAGTAAACTCGGGTGACCTATTGCTATCTGTTTTCGTCCGTCGTCGTGCGTTAACATTTGAACATTTTCAGCTTCTTCTCTGCAACCACTGAACCAATTTAAACCAAATTTAAAACAAAGCATCTATGGGTAAAGGGGAACAAAAATTGTGAATTTCATGATCCCTGCCTCCCTGGGGCCTGGGGGGGTGGGGCCAAAACCACTTAAATTAATGCAATCTTTAAAAATCTTCTTCTTTACTCCTGGACATCAAGCGGTCAAACTGTTTGCATGATTGTAATCAGCAATAAGTCCTCTACTAAAATTGTGAAATTTATAGCCCCAGGGTCAGGGGTTCTAGTGCTAGGGCGGGGCTAAATAAGTAGGTAGTGAAAATGCATTATTTTTTTTTAAATCTTCTTCTCTGCTCCTAGGTATTAAATAAACCAACTAAGTACATAGTTATGATGAGCAAGAGTGCCTCTACCAAAATTGTGAATTTCATGGCCCCAGGGTCAGGGGTTCTGGTGTTAGGGCGGGGCTCTATTAATTATATACAGGTAACTCTCGATACCTCGAAGTCCGCGGGACCGAGAAAAAACTTCGAGAGATCAAGAGTTCGAGATTTCAAGAGTCCGGAATTTTCCGGGTTTGTTGACCGGTTTTGAAAATAGTCTTACCGGTAGTCATAATTTTCATGCAGTGCTAACCTTTTACACGTGGTTTGTATAAAACAACGTCGTATGTTTTCGTATTGTAGATCTATATATTTATTAAATTGAGTAAATAAAAAATGTACATCGTCACTTCAAGTTTATTTATGTATTCTTTTTGATACAGACGTCAAACTACGCATTCGTTAAATCAAAACGACATTTTACCGCGTCGTACATAGCATTGACTACTTCAAACAATCATTAAACGTTGGACGGGATTCTATAAGTATTTGTGCAACAATAGTCGTAATATTGTCATTGAGGCTGTTTCTGCATTTTCATATTTCGTTAAACTTTGACACTGACTCGAATAAAAATTAAACTATTTAGTTTTTCGTCTTGTATTCAATTTATTATTTCTCATTCACACTGCTTCTCTGAATTATCGTAAGACAGTCGATGATAATTTTTTTAATAGCATGTAGGCAACATATGATTAATTATAAATCATTTATCACCTAGCAGTACAAGTGTCACCTGAATAAACATCCCGTTTCTCAAGACCCGCGTCTTCTGCCTGGGGCCATTTAAATGTCCAGGTAAAGTCGCTAATTATGTAACGTTGTATACACATAGCCACTTCGAGGTTTCAAGGGTAAATTTCAATAGAATATCCATAGCGGGACTGCATTTTGACTTCGAGGGATCAAGGGTTTCGAGAGATCAAGAGTTCGAGAAATCAAGAGTAAATTTGCTTAGTTATAGAGGGAAAAAAATCGGGACCGGAGACTGACTTCGAGCGATCAAGAACTTCGAGAGATCGAAGTTCGAGCCATCAAGAGTTACCTGTAGTAAAAATAAAGTCATGAATTCTTTGAAAATCTTCTTATCTGCTCCTGGGTATTAAATAAACTAAGTAAGTACATAGTTATGATGAGCAATAGTGCCTCTACCAAAATTGTGAATTTTATGGCCCCAGGGTCAGGGGTTCTTGTTTTAGGGTTGGGCTCTAATGATTATATAGTGAAATGCATGAATTCTTTGAACATCTTCTCCTTTGCTCCTGGTTAATATACTAATGATCTAAATATATATTTAAGACCAGTATTTATCTTATTTTCAGTTTTACAAAGCCTCCGCTCAAGGTTTTGAATTTTCAGAAAAAAATAAACATTTTTTTCTTTCCGATGTCAAATTTGAGTCGGGATCGAGATTTCAAATTTACGAACTCGCACTTCCGGTTTTAAGATGAAACGGCGGGTAAATAATGCTAGATCTATCTGAAGATAGCTTGGTTTAGTGTAAAATTCATTGATTCGAGTGCCATTTAAAACGTTTCACCCGTTCAAAGGACAAATAAAATGCTGACGACTTTGTTGCACAATGACAATCATGCTGGTGAGATAATTATGTATAATCCAATCCACACTTTTCAAAAGTTGTTTCCCTTTGCAGGGTCAACCAAAAGCTCAAAAGGGAAAAAAAAACGTCATTTCTCCTCTTTATGCTACCAAATATTTGGGCGTGCTGTGATAAATCCATAGCGTTGAATTTTATTCTTTCAATGTGTGGGTAGCCCCATCTTGGGGCAATCATACACAAAAGGCAGAGCTTTTTTAAAATCAAATGACGAAGTTACAAACCTGAAAACTACAAAGGCTACTGTGTGGATTGTATGGGTTTATCCCCTAAGATGGCGGCCAAGGGACATAACTTTTGAAAAGTGTGGATTGGACTATTCGTTTCAAAAGTATCTGTCTGTAAATTATTTTCCTCCCCAGGTTTTAAACTGCCCGTGGTAGCTACTGCATATTGTCAGCGACATTGTTTAGGTCTCTGTTATAGCTTACAGTCTAAGCATCATTCTTCAGAAAAGGATTGCTTATGCATCAGATGTAATGAATAAAACTATGGGAGAAGCTAAGTCCATTTGAGGAAGAAATAAACAATAACCTGAAGAAATTAAAAAAAATCAACTATTAAAAGGCAAGAATATACAAATATATACAGGCATGTAGTACCATTTGTATAAGCAATTAAATGTTCTACTTTCCTATTTGTAAGCATTATGTGTCCAGTGGTAAGGAGAATTAGAATAGCATAAAAAAGAATGTACAAATGTTAATAATTGATTGATCAAAATTTTTCTTTTATTATTTCCTTCTCCTTCGGGACTTTTTTATGACATGTTCATAACTAAACCTAAACATAAAAAAAATGCTGGCTATATAATGAAGAAAGAAGCCTCTTTCAAAATAGATAATTTCAGGGCGGCTGGGTCAAGGGTACCAGGGGGGGGGGTACTTTGACTAAAAATAATTTAATGCTTTGAAATCTGCCCTTTGATAAGCAATGGTGCCTCCTTAAAAAATTGTGAATTTCATGGTTTTGGATTAAAACACGAACCAAATACAATCGCTGGAAAATTGTTACATGATACTCAGGTGACCTATAATGCCCGTGGGCCTCTTGTTTCTGTAATAGAGTTATCAAGGTGCCCTAATAATTACAATCAATATTCAAGTTTCATGGTTGGTGTGAGTCAATCTCGAAATAATTGTAAAGTACGTTGTAATGTTTTAACCTGGATAATTTATAATAAAGGCAATAAAAGAAAAAAATTTGTTATTATTTTAATAATAGGCAACGATAATGTTTTTCTCCATAATTATTTTTGTTGCTCATTGAAAACAAAAAAAAATATATGAGTTGATTTTGATCATAACAAGAGTTTTTTTTGTTGGATAGGGGGTAGGTATGTTAAAACCCAAACAACTTAAGAATAAAACCTTAAAATTTTCTAAAACTCTTTCAATAAATGGCTCGAATGATACTCTTTAAGAAAATATTAGGCTTGGTTGATTTCTCAATATCGTTTATTAGGGATGGAAAATCTTAAATATATTTTACAGTGAAATGCTATTACAATATATAAGTCGTGATATTATACAGAAAATATTATAATCTGTGTTTATGCACCTTAAAGAAGGAGTAAAAAGTGTAGACAGGGGGACCGACGGACTACAGACAAAATGTGATCAGAAAAGCTTACGAGCTAAAAAAAAAAAACAAATTCAGGTTAACATTTGAGATATGTAAACATGTCAAACATATCAAAACAAATTATCAAAGAATGAAAAAATTATAACGGTTCGTTATATTACAACTACTATTCAGAAAAAAAACAACATATTGTGTTCATTTAAATCCGCTTAACCCGAAACAGGCACATATTATCTTACACAATAAAAGTAAGTCATTACATAGAAAATATATAGAAATAAATGAGATTGAATTAATAGCTTATTACAACAATCCTTACATGGAAAACGCAGATCAAAAACCTTATTGACAAACAGTAATTCCTGACGGAAGTTAAGATTTGTTGTAAAGTCAATTTTGAAAAAAAATAAGTTTATCGGATATATCTAATATTGAAGATAATTCAAACCCGAGTATTTTTTTCTCTATTAGTAACAATGAAGAGCATTGAAGTGGTAAAATTTTCCGTTCGAATGGAACGTTTTGAGCTATCTTCAGAACGTATTGTCATCTTATGACACGCCCATTTCTTTAGAAATGGATAAAACGGTCAATTTGCTTATTTGAATACCTGTTGAACAGGTTTTCCATAAATATAGTAGCCAATCAAATTGACAGTCTAAATAAACACCAAGTAAACGTGTGTTCGACCGAAACATGTGTTGTGGTAACTTCAGTAGACATGATAACTTTAAAAATATGTTCATATTCGTTGCAATTTGAGTTTTAGAGAAGCGGGGAGTCTCTAATTCTTTCTTCTGATTTTTAAAATTCCATTTCAGTGTAACTCATATTGTTTATCGCGAAGAGTGGGATGTCCTAAAACATCACGACGAATATTTCTTTCT